CCCGGCTTCGCGGGCAGCGCAGGCTGTGGGAGGCGGCGGCGCCCGGCCCCCGGGATTCTCGAAGCGACTTTGCGTAGGTTTGCCGGTGTCCAGGCCTCCGGCGCTTGCGAGAAATGTGCGCCAACCACGTAGGTGGATTCGTGAATCTCGACTTCAGCTCTGGCTCTGTAGGTTTTTTTTTTTTTTTTTTAATTCTCCAAGATGGCGAACTGCCATTGATTTCTTCTCCTATGGAGATTCATCGATATACCGTTATCCCCAGTTACGCAACATACCTCCTAAAAGGGGGTGCCTTTAGGGGGCTTTCAGTAATAGCAAACACTGGGGATGGGGTACACTTCGCCGAGTCTTTCCCTCTTTACTGATGGTAGTAAAGGAACTAATGCTTAAATCTATTTATGCTTCAGATCGCCTGATAATCTTGTGAGTTGATGGTTTTGACTTGGTTGCCACATGTTTGGGGAATATTTGACACAGAGCTTCCAGAACTGCTTATTGTTCTGCTTGTTTCTTCCCAAGGCTGTTCGGGAAATGTTGAAGTATGGTCTGTGAGACCATTCCCTTAATTTTTTAGCCCTGCGTTCCCTTCCCATCAAACTCCCAACGTTCATGTCCTCCCATTATGGGTGCTAATCGTTCTTTTACTACCTGACATGGTTTCCTATCTCTAACTGTTGAACTTAGTCCCTGGTACTTTACGATCACCTATATCTGCAGTGGACACCAGTTCTTACAGAGAATTGGCATCTGGTGATCAACTTTTTCTCTGCAGTCCTCCTGTCTTTGTGTGAGAGTTCCCGCTGTCTGGCTAGGAAGATTGCGGGAGTGTGCTTGGAAATGGCTGGGGCCTGCTATGACTCTGCAGTTCTGATGGGGGCGACGCCTTCCTTCTTATTCATGGAATTCTGTTAGAATTCACGGTTTCTTCTCTCCAGCTCCGGTGGCTGAACCTCAGTTTCCTTCCCAGTCTCCCTCCATTTTCTCTCTCCTTCTACCGCTGCTTACTGCAGTGCTGTAGAGAGAATCTGTTTTGCATTTGCCCAGAGAGAAAACTGATTACTGAGATGGGAGGGGAAGGGAAGTTGGAGACAAAAAGGAGTAGTGGCTAGAAAAGTAGGAGGGAAATACAAATTTGGAAAGGCACTGAGGTTTAAGAATCGAAATTCATATCATCAGGGATATTTCTAGTTATTCCATGCAGAGAAAACAGATCTGCTAAGCACAGGGTTTATTTCAGGAGACTTTGAACCAACTTTAAATTTGATGCAGCGTGACCGACTGTAATGTGACTGAGCACGACAGGCAGACCAGCCCTTGAGTTTATAGTTGAATCTTTACAGGAGCACTCTCAAAAGCACCTCCTGACTTCATGCATTTTATAAATAATTCTTTAAGTTTGTAGTTTGTCCAGTGTCAACCCCCAAGTGTTCAGAGCCTTTGTGTAGGCCTATTTTAGTTAGCAGACCACATTTAACTCTGAAAGCAAATTAATCTAAAGCGCGTAAATCATGTAGGGTTAGATAATCCTTCAGAAAAGACGATCTTGATTTTACATGAGCAAAAATGAGTTGTGTTGTAGCAGTAGTGCCAACTCAGTACAATCTTTTGTGTTCTATCAAGCTCTGAAAGAATGAACTACAACTTAATGTTTCTTTTTCTTTTTCTTTTTTTGGGGGAGACAGCCAATAGAAATAGACATGATTGTAGGAAAAGACCGGGAAGGTTTCTTTACCAACGGTTTGACTCTTGGTGCAAAGAAGTGTTCAGTGATCAGAGATAGTCTATATGTCGATGGTGACTGCACAATGGACATCCGGACAAAGAGTCAAGGTGGGGAGCCAACGTACAATGTTGCCGTCGGCAGAGCTGGTAGAGGTAAGCAAGGTGTTTTTGTGATTAAAAGTTGCATGCCATATTACAACTTAATAATCAGTTTCTTTAACATTTTGAATAGAAGTTAGTCCATAATGGCTGTTAAGGTGGTTTTTGTGAACCGCCCAGCACTGAAGGGAAGCCCTGCTTCAGATTTACCTACTTTACACTAGTTGCACATACAGCCTAGTGCCTTTCATTCTGACGTCACTGAGACACAGGACTGTATCAACTTGTTTTCAGCCTTAGTGAATTTATTATTAAGTTGTCTCAAACTGCTTGCTATGTCAGATGATAATCCTGTGGTTTATAAGATTTTTAAATTTAAATCATTTGTTTATTTTTATCCTTCATCAGTCTTTACTTTTGGATTTTTTCTCATCTTATGCTTTCAATCAGTTTACTGCTTATCATAATGAAAAATTAAACTTTTTTTCTGTTAGGAATATTGCTAGAGAAGAGAGGGATGATTAGATTATGGTTTTAGAGTAAGTTGCCCATTAAAATATTTTCAAAGACTAAATGTCTGTGTGGATTTGAGATGTAGGAAGTTACAGTTCATTTACATACTTGGTCCAGAAAAATCTGGTATCAGCATTATGGGAATTCTTACTGCACCAAAGAAATCTCATTTTTTCAAAAGAAACTTGAAATTGAGGATTATTATGACACCTGATTGACGTATCAATATATTTAAATATGTTAACTTGCATAAATATTTTAAAAATAAATAGGGCTTCTGTAGCTTCATTTGGCAAACTTGGTACATCAAATTTTAAGAACAGCTCTACCATGTGAAGGGACTTGAAGGTGCAGTTTCATGCTCTGGTTTTACCAATTCCCTGTGATTATCCTAAAGGCCACTTTTATTCTGGTGTGAGTTGATGTTTATGGGTATTTATAGGAAAATTAGATGACTTTGAAATAGTAGACAAGTCTGTAAACATTAGCCTCTCTCAGAAATACCTGTGCTAAAAAAAATGCATTAACCACATGATGTGAAACCAGATTGAGATTTTCCTGTTATAGAGCACTACTGACATCTAGTGGCAATGAATAGAAAATCTGACATACTCCTGTATGTACATACATTTGAGCATAGATTTTTAATTGCATCATAAAACAACCTGGTATTAGAAATAGTAAACCTATAGCATTTTATACTCAGTTAAAAAATCACAATTTAGCAGAATGAAAATATCAGTATGCATAAACCTTAAATAGTTTTAACTTGGCCTTTTCTCAAATGCTGTTTCAATTTGATTTTCATTTTCCTTTAGAAGTAACAGGCATATCTATAGGCTCATTGCTAAGACTTAGTTTATACATATCAATGTATATGTATGCTAAATTTGGGGAGAATTTGTAAATAATTACCTGATTTTAAAGTATATTTTTGGGACAAACAGTACTTATGTGTCATGTCATACAGAATTTTTGCCCTAAAATTGAAGAGAAATTATCACTTTTTTCCCCATAGCTAGCATAAAGATAATTGTATGGAACTTTGCTCCCAAGGTGATAGGGCTTCCACAGTGCAGTCAGCAGTTAACTGTATTGTTTTCAGTATATTACTTATTTGAAAGTTCTCCATTTTGGAGACCTGATTGACTTCAGTGCTTGACAGTTCATGGAAAACTAACCTAATGTTAACGTGTATTAATCAGGGATCTGTCTGCTAAAACTTGTGTGACTTTCTTGATTAACACTTCTTTTGAAACACTTTTCTTCTTTCTCTTTCAGTCTTGGTCTTTGTAATGGGAAAAGAAGGGGTCCATGGAGGCGGATTGAATAAGAAGGCATACTCAATGGCAAAATACTTGAGAGACTCTGGGTTCTAGCTGCTAGGCAGACTGTGAAGTATTAGGGGAAAATTGCTCTTAAACTTTCCTAGCTGTAAGCTTAAGTCTTAATTCTGGAAACTTTATTAGCAATGCAGGGTGATGGGGTATGAACCTGTGTCTCCTTTGTATCCCTGTTGGTGGGGAAAGGTGTCTTTCTTTCTGCCCCCCCTTAAATAATTCTGTTCACTTTTGTTTTGTTTCCTTGTGTACTCCAGCATTGGTTATAGTCATGGGAAAGGAAGGTGTCCACGGAGGCACACTTAACAAGAAAGCATATGAACTCGCTTTATACCTGAGGAGGTCTGATGTGTAAGCAGCCTCTCCCCATCTACCTAGCAACTGTCTTCATCACCACCCTAATAATGGTCACAGTGCTACCAGACTATAGATGGTAGCTAGTTTTCTTTACCTATTTTCTAATGTCATGATTCCTGTTTGCCCAATGGATCATTTGTATGTTAACCACTGTATGTAACCAACCTTTATCTGGCAACATAATTGCAGCACAATAATGATTTGCATGATACCTTGAAATTGGGGGGAGGGGGCATGCCAAGTTGGGCATCACTTTGTCTTAGCAATTAATGGGATATTGATTACTAAAATAAGTTAATATTAAGCAAGGTGCCGGTTGTACAATCTCTGATTTGATCAATGTCTTTTCAGCACTTTGAGCATTTACTTGGCTCATTTAGTCTTCCTTTTGTAGCGCATGGTTGGGAGGAAAAAGTGCATGCATCTTTCTTTCACTCCTTTTTTCAACACTTTCTTTGCACATAAGGAATTTGGTTTGCTTCCATCCTCTTTTAATGCAGTGCCTGGTTTATTTAACCATTTAATACCCCCTTTGTTGATGAGCTATTGAGAGCTGCATAGTTTGCTTTTAGTATTGTGGTTGCACTTAACCTTGTTTCATAGCGTCTGTTGGACACATGAAGAGTGCACCTGCAAAACAAGAGCAAAAGGCACTTCCTCCCATGACCTTACAGTAACCATACTGATTGAATCCCCAGGGACATTCCATCATTGCAACAGCTCAGATTTTTGTTCCTGTCTTTTTCTTTGCACACCAGCTCTACTCTTTAGTGAAGCTATAAAGGCTGCCATTATGGACATTAGGTATCCCAACATAACCATCTGGAGTGTGTCCAGTTTGTTCTTCATAGGACCAATTTTTATTTGCAGCTTGAGTTTTTATATGAAGTTGCATTATTGTGGACTTGGCTGTCTTGTGATGAATTTTTCTCATGTATTCTGTGCCATACTATTGTTAAAATGAACTGTTGCTATTGTGAGATGGATTTTAACTGACCTGTTAAGGGTTTCTTTTGAATGGCACTACTTTAGGGACATTCTAGTATTTGCTTCTATTGTTTGGGCCTTGTGGATAATGTACAGATTTAAAAACAAATCTTGTTGCTGATTTGTCCATTTCTTTCCCTGCACTTTGTTACATCTGGGATACAGTCTAACTCATCTGATTTAATATGCATTTAAAAAAATGCCATAACTATTAAACACCTTGTTTACAGACAGATGAAATAAATTTATTCCAACCAAATACTCCAGACTCCTGTTGTTTATGTAAATTGTCGGCTGTTGATTTTTGACACAGTGGGTGTGTAAAGAATAGGCCAAAGTCTGCTGCAAGCATAATACTAGTATGTAGGAATTTTTTAGTAGGCTTTGAGCCACTAAAAGTAGCATTTAGTTATTACAGGCTGATCTTCAGGCTTATGTGAGGAAGCTGACTTTATTGCTAGAAAATTTTCTCCTCTGTTGGTCTGTACATGTGAAACCTTGCAATGTAGTAAGCAGGAAGAGGCCCTAATACCAAGAAGGGTTTCTGTACTATTGTGGGTTCTCCAGTGTTGAACTGGCACATGACTTTAGAGTTGGAGTCTGTGTTGGTAGGCTCAGCCTGCTGGGATTCACCTACGTTAACAGCAGAAAACGTTGCCTAGGTAGCACTGAAGAGAATTGGGGTGCTTTTACACATTCTGGCTTTTAGAGTAACGTGTTGATCATGACTAAACAGTTTAATACTAGTGTTCATAAATTCCTTAGTAGTATTAAAGGTCACTAAATATTTAAGTTTAGGGCTATTTAGGCAAATCATCATTACCGTGAACTGTCAGGAACAAACTTAGAGCTGGTTACAATACAAATTCTAGACTTGAGTTCCACCCTAGAGATGGAAGCCCAGGAAATCCCTTTTTAGAAAAAAGTCAGTCTGGTTCATGTTAAGTGGCCTGTATGCTGTCCTTGAGAAAGAGTGGGTTAGGGAATAGGAATTACTCTCTTTTCCTTAAAATACAGTGGACATAGTGAAAGTTTTCTTTGACAGACTGTCAGACAGTTCTATTTGATTGTACAAATGGGATTAAACTATTAAGGCATGCAATTTGGGCTACTTTATTTGAACCTACTCTAGAAACCCTTAAACACTGAAAAGCTGGTATCAGCTCTTTGTCCTTCTGTTAAAAGATTTGTTAAGGACAAAAGTTCAGACAAATGAAAATTTATTGATTAGGTTACGATTTGCAATTTTGCAGTAATAGGTACAACCGCACATTAGTTGTAATGAACCATTGTGGTGATAATTAAGCAATAACCGAAATGGTGAGACCTTTAAACAAATGAACTTACTGGTAAGAGGGATGTATGCTGAGAGTTGGGTAGAAGATAGAAGATTTACTGTGTCACCAGTAAACTGAAAGTAATCACTGAGACACCCACACACAGTTTTAATAGAAAAACAGAACACATGTTTGCCCATTTTGCTTTGGAGGATATAGAGTTACACTTGTATACAAGTGTATACTAGAATGTCCTATCATGCAATTACTTAACTAATTTTGGAAAACAGGGCTTACCTTTAAGGGAAGTGAGTTGAATAATTTTGTCTGTAGACAGCCACTGAAGGATGTCCCAAGAAAATGCTCACCAATGAGCATAGATGAGCACAGTGTGAAGGCAATGTTGCAGGCAATATCTCTGGGCTGCTTCCAGGTGACTGTATTTTGATTTCTAGTGTTACTTAATCAGAAAAGTTTTAAATGAGTTTCAAATACTGGGTTTTAATTTTACTGTCCTTCACAAAAAGCTTAATTTACAGTGAAGTTACAGATTTCAAGTGCATAGAGAAGTAATAATCCTACCCAGTGCAATTAAGACATTTCACAAATTTTTTTACAACTCAATTTTTGATTGGGAAAAACTTAAATGAGCCAGGTCCTTGACCTGAAATGTGGACTAAGGACTAAAGGAATACAGTATTTAATATATAGCTACACAGTGACTTAACTTTTCCTTTTTGAAGAATTATTTTTAAAAGCTAGTATGTATTTATCCCCCAGATACTGAATTCAGTGTTTTGTCCTTATATCCTTTAAATTAAATTATGCAAGGGACCAAAAAGGTATAAAAAGGTTTCGGCCATACAGTTATGTGACATTCCAACTTCTGCTTAATATTATGGTAAAACTAATGATCTTTTAAAATATGTTTTATTTTAAAAGAGTGGAGGAGAATGAGGAGTGTCACTTTGAGTTAACTTTTTATTTTCCAAAGTGGAAATAACCTTTTTTTCCTCTAACTAAAAGTTTTTAAAAGGAAAATTCAGTGCAATTTCCTCTTTTAATGTTTTATTTCTTTTAAATAGTATTAATGTTTAAAAATTTTTATTAGTACACGTTTATAATATATTATGTTTATATTCACCTTAGGGAGTAGGTACATGTACTTAATCTTTTTTTAAACAAATGGCTTATATACCAAGTATACTTACTATTCTGTGGTATAATTTTATTACAGTTTTCCATGTCAGCATATATATTTACTGTACAAATGTACAACAGGGTACCATAATACATGCTGTTTATTTTTGGAATGATTTTGACAATAATCTTGACTTGGTTTTTTGTAGTTTTTTTCCAGATTTAGATAATCTTGTGAGTAGTTACTTTGTATAAAGTTCTGGGATGGTGTGTGTTTATCTTACCTCGGTCATTATATCTTTGTAGCAGTCTGCATATAAAGCTATGTGGTAACAGTACAATAGAACATTTACTATTTTTAAAGTGGAAAAGTTTTATTAACATTCAAACTCCCCTCATATAAGGCCATATAAAAATTCTTAGTAGTTTGATTATACATTTCTTTAATTTCTACATAGTTACAATGTATAATTTACCTTTTCATAATACATCATTTCAATACATTAGTTCTGTTAAGCATTTAGTTTCAAATCTAATACTTGAACAGTTTCTCTGTACATAGGTTAGCAGGGCTAATTAGCATAAGATGCTCTTTATTAAGAGGTATATGATCTGAGAGTAGTAACAGTTGCTGAAGTTTGGTATTTTTATGCAGCATTTTCTTTTTGCTTTGATCTCAACACAAAACTGAAGGATACTGAAATCTCAAAAGTCCAAAGACATTACCTGTTGAACCATAGTTATACATAACACTGTAGTATTAAAACCCTTCTGAAATCTGTACTAGTTACAGACCTTTCATATCAGGATACGACTGCTTGGGAATAGAAATGAGAAAGATAGCTTTGAATTTTCTGTGAGGTGCTGATAGGAGGGGAGAAGTGGTAAAATACCTTGTTGCTTCTCACTAATGAAGGCAACTTGGAGAAACAGCAGAAGGTACTCCAACTCATTCTTTACCGAGGCGTGAGCACTGGCTTAGCTTATGCTAGATGGCCATGGCACTGATTTCGTGTGTGAAACACAAAACATTTTCATACTGTGATCTAAGTCTTAATCGCAAGCTATATTGAGATTTTAAAAAACATTTTGGCTATGTTTTATCCTTGATGCCTGAGTTACAGCACCAGTCTGTTATTAGTAAAATGAAATATAGTCCTGCAGCCTGTTTGGGTAATCTGATTAAACTAGAACACTAAAAAATAAGTTATTTCTACAGAAATCTCTAAGAGGAGCAAAAAATCAAATTGCAGACCTAAATAAATGTTTCACAGGGAAATCAACCCATCACCCATCATAACGGGTCACACGGTATTTGCTATGTCGCAGTCCCGCTCACCATTCGGCTGCAACTGGACCACAACACTGTGTTCATTCACTTCATTCTCCGCCTCACTGCTGTCAGTATCTTCGTTGTCCTCGTCCTCAAAGTCTGAAGATTCTGTCATGTTCTGATGCGAGTGGGACTCTGACAAAGCCCCAAACGACTGGGTACTGACAGAGGCTAAAGGTCTAAGCAGAGGGGTGTGTTCTGACACTTCATTTTCTTCTTGACTACTGTCTGTGTCAGAGTCGGAATCACCTTGAGAAGGAACAACTTTTTGCTTGCAGACCGGACAGGTTTTCTTGGTTTTAGTTAGCCAGGGGTCTACACATTTGCAGTGATAAGCTGTTAAAGTAAAGTGTACACTTCAGTTAGCAAACTGTTGACACTGTATTTAATCTCTTACGTTTATTTAGTTTATGATACATTATACACCATGTAGAGACAAAAATTTGTCCATTTTTACAAATTACACCTCTGCCCTTTAATGAGACTACTAATTAGTATAGAGCATAGCTTATGGTGTGCTAATGACTATTTTCTCTCTTCCTGTGTAATACTGAACCTAAATATAAATTACTGTATTTGTAAATTCAAAGCACTATGTAATTACTCATACCATGGGAACAGGGAAGGATTCTGAGTTTGTCTCCATCTTCATATTCATCCAGACAAATGGCACACACATCGTACTCATCTCCTAGAACAGAAACAAACATAAAATTAAAATCTGTACAGAAGGTTTTCAACTTTTCAAGTGTTTTCAGCTTACATTTCCTTAGTTATTTTAAATTCCTTTTGATTATTTTTCTTTAAATGACGCCTTTTGTTTTCTCTTAGATTTCAGGGAGCTATGTAACTGTTTAAGTTCAAGGATCTGAAGTTTTAAGTAATCTTTTACCTAAAACAATAATGGGTATCAATTTCTTACCGTGATTTTCTTTGCAAAGTATTTTAGGAATAATCAAAATGTTCATGTTTTACACAATTGTACTCAAATGCTAGTTTTGAAATATGACAAAATTTTACTAAAATTTTTCAAAGTATCTGGGTCATTTTAATGTATTATTAGTATTTTGTCATGCTAGCAATTGAATCTGGAGCTTCATGCTAGGCAAGGGCATTAGCATTTAGCTATACTCCCAGCTCTGGGTCATTTTTTTTCAAATAAGAAAACATGTTAGATCATATTCAAATATTTTTAATATATTAATGAGTAAAAAGCAATTGAACGGAAACACATTGGTCTTTGTTCTGTCGTACTTGACAAGTTACTATGCCTTTGTTATGTAGTCTGCATCTGTAAAGAGTACCTTGCAGGGTGGTGAGTATCATTGCCATGTTAATTGTCTTATTGTTGAATTTATAATCTTTATAATCATAGAGGCTTATTAGCTCATAGTTCTTTTTGAAATTTAAATTAAAGTCTTTAAAAAAAAGACAGTTTTAAATACAGCGGTTCTTTCAGTTAGTAGTGGCTTAGATACCTTGGTGACGGGTTTCAATTAAATCTTTTCCATTAAATTGGTGTTAGGTAAAAACTTAGGAAAATCTCAAGAAACAAAAGTCAGTTAAATTGATTGCCTGTCCCACCAGAGGGGTAACAACCTTGGCATATGTCAGAAATAATAGCCATTGTCTGGATGAACACAACACGTAAAGTAGGAATAACAGTTCTTTAGAAATAATCCCTTTAATGACCTCTAGCCCTTTAAAATGCATTCAGGAAGAGTCCTAATGTGCAAACTTCAATAAAAGTTACTAATTTTTGTCCAGCATCTTGGGTTACATAGCATCACCTGTAAATCCATGTAATAACAAAATATATATACATATCTTAGGATCGTGTGTGGGATTTGGTAAGGCTGACTCAACGACTGGAATACTAAAGGACTTCAATATATCTATCATGATGTATAACTGTACAGTGATTCATTTCAGACTTCGAGGACAGACAGCTCTAATAAGCAATTAAAACACTGATACTCTCATAAATCAAACATCACTTTGTAAAAATATCTTACTAAAAACTATGGTTAATACGTGTTAAGGAAGGGAGATTAGCCTGGATTATACACAGGGTCCTCAAAAGTGGAAGTGAGAGTTCACCATCAGAAAGTGATTGGATGAATGGTCAGGGAGATGCAGTGGTATTGGCATCAGAAAGAAGTCACAAACCAAGAAATACAGGTTGGCCTGGAAAAGGTAAAGAGAATAGATTCTCCCTGAGAGACTCCACAAAGTAATACAGCCCTGCCAACCCCTTGAATCTAGCCTCCTGACACGTCAGCCTTCTAACTTGTGCACAAACAATACATCTGTGCTTCTTAAGGCACTTAAGTTTGTGATAATTTGTTACTAGAGAAAACAGGAAACTAAATATTTGCCTGGTTTATCTTCAAATGTGTTGAACTAAGGCTCTAGAGTCACTGAGTTTCTTGTCAATCTTCTGAATTGTTCCAAGCAATAAGTTTATACTGATCATTCCTATTACTTGCCACAATATTCACTTTGAAGAAGACAAGTCAAAATTCAAAGACGCAGTTTGTGATCATGGTCTGGATCACAGCCTAGAGATCTGTAGGAAATTAACCTCCATGGCCTTGGGCTAGTGATGAAATGGTAAAGCACATCTTAGAGTGCTTAGGATTCTCTGGTACAATCAGTAGGAAGATTCCCCAAAAAACTAAAAATAGAAATTCCATTTGACCCAGCTATTCCCCTTCGAGGTATAGATTCTTCCCAAGGACATCATACTACAGTAATACGTGCATATCCATGTTTGTAACAGCACAGTTCATAATAGCTAAATCTTGGAAGCAGCCTATGTATCTATCAGCAGAGGAATGGTAAAGAAAATATAGCACTTATACACAATGGAGTTCTACTCTTCCATAAAGAGGGATAAACTTCAGTACAGTGGACCCTTGACTTAGGAAACTCAATTTGTCCCAAGGGCTAGTTGTAACTCAAATTGTCAACTGAAGGCTCAGGCTCCTCTGCACAGCCTTCAAAGTCTGTCCTCTATACAGGCAGATCTCAGTGTCCTTAGGCATTGGCTCATGATTTCTCAACCCTATACAGGAAAAATGTAATGTTCCTTCCACAATTCTTTAAGGGCGAAATCTGTATCTGAGACCATCTGGAAACACAAGCAGCCAATATTCGGGTCATAACTCAAGACTTCGGTCATAAGTTAAAACTAAAATTCCAGTCATAACCCAAGTTATTCATATGTCAGGCTGGTCATAACTCAAGGGTCCACTGAAGTCTGCAGGAAAATGGGTGTACCTTGAGACTGTAATGTTAAGTAAATAAAGCACAAGCTTAAATATCACATGCCTTTTCTTATATGTGAAATCCAACATATAAATAAAATGCAAAATAAAAGATGGTAGAAAAACAGAACTAAAAATGTTATTGTAATCCACCATGACCAATGTATCTAAAAGTATACCTTCCTTTGCTGTAATTGCCTTTTATGTTTCATATTTGGAGGGGCAGTTAGCCTAGCTGTTAATCTGTGTTAATGATAATTAACTTGATGAGGACTTACAAAATAAATGAATCTGATACTGGCAAAAAAAAATTTTTAAAGGGAGAGTTGGACAGGAAGGGAAAAAAAGAATTAAGATGTGTTATGTACATGTACCAATTCCCTACAATGAATGTAATCATGTACTGTAAACATGTACTAATAAAAATTTAAAAATAAAATATTCAATGAAAAATGCTTGGGGTTCACATCTTATTCCTTTAATTACCTATGTAACCTTGTGTAAGATACTTTTATATACTTTAGTTAAATATTCAGCAGGCCTTGAACTATGAGTATAAAAGAGAGTTTTTGTTTTTAAAGCTAGGCTGAATGCATTAGAAACACTAAAGCTAATTGTCCCCCCAGTAGCTCACTTCCAGCCAAAATACAATTAAATTAGGAATAGGTAAGGAAATTAGAAGACTGGACAAACAATTCAATAAAAAGCAAGAATGATGGCAAAATCAATTTTTGTCCCACTTTGAACTACCTGAAACTAAATTGGTAGAAAATGAGTCACACATTGTAACAAGGTGTGTATCCATTCAGAGACACTCAAAAGGCTGTGGTCTAGCATCAAAGGACTACTGAGTACATTATGTTTAAAGCATTTATGTATTCTTTTAATTTATAACCTTAACAGGCTTTTGAAATTAGCTTCCTACTTATTCTGGTAATATAAAGGGCTCTAACCAGTGCATAGTGATAATTTTGCTACTAGTGGAACTGTGCTACAAAGTTCTGTTGTTTAGGGTAAGATTGGTTCTCAAACAGAAGTGATTTTGGCACCCAAGGACATCTGGTGATATCTAGAGACATTTTTGGTTTTCATAACTAGGAGGTTATGTTGCTGGCATGCAGTAGACCAGGGACGCTGCTCAATATCCTATACTCGACAAGCCCCCCGAAGAATGATCCCATCTAAATGTCAATAGCACAAAGATTAGAAACCACTCCTGGCTAACTAAACTTAGCTAATTCACTAGTGGATAAGATACACAGAATTTGAGCAAAGAGGGAGATTTATGTCTGCTACGTAAAGCAGTGTGGAAATATTTTTGGAATATATTGGCATTATTTTGGACTATATAGGCATTGTCACTACAATAATGGTTTGAAATAATTTTCTGCAGGTACTGTTAAAGTTTTTGTTTTTTTTTGGTCTTTTTGAGACAGGGTCTGGCTATGCGGTTCAGACTGGCCTTGAGCTCACTTTGTAGCCAAGGCTGGCCTCAAACTTCCAATAATCCTCCTGCCTCAACCTCCCGAGTGCTAGGATTACAGGTGTGCACCACCAGGCCCGGCTTCTGTTAAAGTCTTATAAATCTGAAAATGTATAATTATGACATGTAACTGGACAGAACTTTGAATTTCCCCTCTAAACTTGTTTCTCCCATACCACAGCAATATATGTGCACCCATGTTTATAGCAGCACAGTTGGTAATAAGTAAATCTTGGAAACAACCCAAATGCCCATCAGCTGAGGAATGGATAAAAAAGATGTGGTATTTTTATACAATGGAGTATTACTCAGATATAATGAAAGATAAACAGAGGCTTTTATAGGTAAATGGATGCAACTAGAGACCATACTCATAAGTGAAATAAATCAGACCCGCATGTGTAAACATTGTCTTGTCTCCCTAGTGTAAGAATCTGAGAATGTTAATAAAATCTGAAAGGTACAATAGATATTGTGAAAGGGAAAGAAACTGCTCAAAAGGAAAGAACAACTGGGATGAGGGAAAGGAGAAGAAAAAGTGAAAAAAATGTATTTATATATATATACAAGATAGCTAAGACAATTGTACTACTAATTTCTAATGGCTTATTGAAAGGAACAGTTAATGTTTGTTTGATCACACTCTTTTTTCTTTTTTTTCATTTTTTTCCGGTACCGGAAATCAAACTTAAGACCTTGCACTTGCCAGGCAGGTGCTGTGCCACTGAGCTAAATCCCCAGCCCCTGTTTGATCACTCTTACATGCCTATATCTGGTAATCTGAACAACTACTTTGAAGATAACAATATGTAATACAACAACTATTGTTAATTTCCTATCATCTTTTTTTGGAATTCTGTATCATTTCTATTGTTTTTGTGTTGTTTTTGTTATTTTGTTATGGTTCTTTTCTCTTTAAAATCAAAAATATATATAAAC